TTGTTAAACAACGTATATTTATATTTTTTGTTAAACAACGTGTATTTATCTTATTGTTAAACAACGTATATTTATCTCATTGTTAAAGAACGTGTATTTATCTTATTGTTAAACAACGTATATTTATCTTATTGTTAAAGAAAGTGTATTTATATTGTGTTAAACAACGTGTATTTCCATTAGTGTAAACCCACGTGTATTTATTGGGCGATTACCGTACAGGCATGTGTGGAACAGAACAATATTATAAAAACCATGCTTGTCGTTGGTATGGTGATTTTGTATCTCTCTTGGTGTGCGTTAATTTAGCTAAATGTACTTCAAGGCTTTGGACAGGTTTGTTTCTTTTAGAGTTATATTCTGTGTCCACCAGGGGACTCATTGAACGGGACAAACGTTTACTACAGCACACAGCTGGGCCCTGCATGGCCAGGCGGTTAGGGCACTTGACTTGAGGGTCACAGGTTTGAATCCCCGTCCCACCAAACATGCTCACCCTTTCAGCATGGGGGCGTTATAATGTGACTGTCAATCTCACTATTCGTTGGTAAAAGAGTAGCCCAAGAGTTGGCGGTGGGTGATGATGACTAGCTGTAGTCTTTCGCTGATAAATTAGAGACGGCTTACGCTGATAGCCCTCGTGTAGCTTTGCGCGAAATTCCAAACAAGCCAAACCAAAGCACACAGCTGCTCTTCCTGTCTGGAAAGATCCAGATCTTATTCAGTTCTAGGTTATGAGTTATTATGACCTTGAACAGAACGTGATGACCTCTGGTTAAAGTTCACGTCCTACTTCAAAAACATCACCTACTTTTTCGTTTTTTTTAAGACCACTGACAGTTAAGTTCGTTAAAGTCAACCACGACGCAAATATGATCCGCTTCTCTCTGTCGCAGGTCTTTATAAACATTTCATCTGTTGACCTGCGAAACCACTATCTCAATAAAATAATAAAAATTTACTTTGTAGACGACCACGCAGGCAAGCACACGTTGGATGGTGGGGGGGGGGGGCGTACTTTAGGCTTGACATCCGTGAACATTGAATTTGCCTCTAGCGGTCACTGTCTTATTGATACAAGCCACGCTATCTCTCTGGCTACCACCACGTGACCAGCAGATTGATTTTCACACGTGCTCCTTAAAATGATCAAAAGTTTTATTCACTTTAAAGTTTGAGACTTAATTAACGTATCTGTATGATCTGCTCTTTTAGGGCCCATGGAAACTGGATAAGGATGGACAGATATACAGACAGACAGATAGGGTAGATAGATAAACCGATAGATAGATAGATGAACAGACACACTGATAGACATACACACAGATATATAGTCTCAAGTGACTTTTTTGATACTTGGTATATCCTATGTCTGATGTTTCTTCACGTATTCTTCTTAACTCGTTTGACTGTTTTTGTTACTCATACTTTGTTTCTTCACGTATTCTTCTTAACTCGTTTGATTGTTTTTGTTACTCATACTTTTCTTTTTGCTTTAATCCGTATTTGGAAACTTTCAAATGTACATAAGGTGTCATCCATCTGAAACTAGACATGATGTCCGCCATATTTGATGTCCGCTTTACTTTTAAACAGACTAACATCTCCGCTGGTGAATCTGTTGCAACTGGACTGATCCGGAGGAGATGAACCTGTTGCAACTAGACTGACCCGAGGAGGTGAACCTGTTGTAACTAGACTGACTCGGAGGAGGCGAACCTGTTGTAACTAGACTGACTCGGAGGAGGCGAACCTGTTCGGAATGTTGATAAAGACAAATGATTTTATTCGATCAGGAAACAGGATCTACAGTTCCTTAGGCCTAACATTCGTTTTTAGTTTTTAAATTTACTTGTTTATCTCACGAGTGTGACTTATGTTGTTTTGTTTCAAAGCAAAGACTATCCGCGGGGAATCGAACCTCGGATTTATGTGTAAATTTACAGCTCTCCTACAGTGGGACGTCACTTATGGATGAAAGTAATATCGATGTGTTGTTGCATAACATAAGATACGTTTTACGATTTAAAAAATGTTGTAAATTTTTGTTACTAAAATCATGGCATAAACGTAATACGCATTATGTGATTTAGAGGACGCTTATATCCATATAGTTATCAGTGGTGTAGAAAGAAGTTGCAAAGTTGGGGTGCTTGGCTAGACGTGCAGATAATATAATAATAAATTTACAGTTGGTATTTAAGTCAAATACGTAAAAACACCCCAGAACTCCCGGTTCCGATCCCTCTGGTTACTTTTCAATTCAATGTTAGGAGTATGTAATAATGAAAAACTAAAAAAGAACAACAAAACGTAGTTATTTTTCTAATTGTCTGAATCTGGAATACTCAAAGTGTGATTTTTTTTATGGATTTTTGTTTGTGGTGCCATTCAATAGATGGCACCACATATTTATTATTTCGGACGCATATATAGATAGATACATATATGCACGCTACGACCATCATAGTAGGCTTATTATATATACAGAGTGGTATCTCATTATTTCAAACCAAAATACAAGCACGTTTCTATTCCCTTCTTATTAAGAAGTTTATTTTAAAAAGTTGATTGTTAATTATGAGAAATAAGAAAATATATTAAATGATGCTTATATCTTCCATAGTGGTCTGCGAGGTTGAAACAAACATTAGTAAAAGATCGTTAAGTTCGAGTAGACCCTTTGGAAATATTACATTAGTTCATTGAACAAAGATATCCATATTAGACACTTGTCCAGCAGTACTCGATCTTGTTATTATCTCGAGTGTCTCCCGGTGATCAGTGGTAAGTTATTAGAATTACAAGGCTAAAATCCGGGGTTCAGTTCCCAACGATGGAAACAGCAGATATCCCAATGTGGCGTTTCTCTAGAACAGTGGTTTTTACCCTTTTTTGGTCCATGCCCCACCTCGACACCTCAAAAAAATTGATGCCCTCTTAATATAAAAACAAATTTGGTGTTGAAAGGTGTAATAATATAATGTAAAATTTTTTCTTATTGTAGCATGTTCAAATTTCCCCCCTGTGGGGCGTGCACCCCATGTTCAGAATCATTGCTCTAGAACAACAAAATTATTTCAAGTGTGTTCCATACATAACTGTATATCAATCTTATATTATTAACTTAGATTTTAGCGCCTATACCGTGTGCGCCATCTTGGATTTTACTTCGGCGATGTCGAACGGTTCCTTGGATAATTATGCAATACGTTAAATGCTATTGTTCAATCTGATTTAGGAGCAAAGATAAATCACACGATATTTTTTTAACCCAAATAATGTTATCTAGCATATTTATTTAAAGTAAGTAGCTAAAGCTATTTGATTAGATCTTTACTATAACATTACCATGGGAAAGAAAGGTGACATGGTTAAACAACTTTCTAACTAACTTGGAATATGAAAAAAGAACATTATTTCTGGAATTGTTTGTCACTAGGCACTTCCTACATTGCTATATTAAACTATTGTTTTTGTGTGTTGTTTCGTGATACACGCAGTTTTTAATTTTTGTTTTTAATTCTGTTTCACTTTTTAGCAAATGAGCGCGATTTTCTGGTATCATTATTTGACATATTTTTATCTGACTCGTCCATATGGTTACGGAGATTAAGCCTAGTTTTGATAAATATGTAAGGATAATACAATGGCATATATATTAGCGACCGTGAATATAAAAACAGCGAGTTACAGTCTTAGCATTTGGATTGTCATCGTTTTGATTATTGTTTAACGACTTACGAGACTGTCTTAGTTCTATTTTTCTAGGAGAAAAGATACGTAAGAAAAGTAAACTTTTGACTAAAGATGATGCAAGTTTGTATATCCATTGAAAATATAATTAAGCCTAAACAAGAGGTAGATTTGTGCATGCATTGAAAGTAAAATTAGGCCTAAAGATAATGTAGATTTGTGTATACATTGAAAGTAAAATTAGGCCTAAAGATGATGTAGATTTGTGTATATATTGAAAGTAAAATTGGGCCTAAAGAAGAGGTAGATTTATGTATGCATTGAAAGTAAAATTAGGCCTAAACAAGAGGTAGATTTGTGTATTTATTGAAAGCAAAATTAGGCCTAAAGAAGAGGTAGATTTGTGTATGCACTGAAAGTAAAATTAGGTTTAAAGATGATGTAAATTTGTGTATTTATTGAAAGCTAAATTAGGCCTAAAGAAGAGGCCGATTTGTGTATGCACTGAAAGTAAAATTGGGCCTAAAGATGATGTAAATTTACATATGTATTCTTTTACCTGCTTTTTTGATATCAAGGTGAAGTGATTCTTAAGTACGGATTCGGATATCTCGTGGGAGGTGCAGCGCAGAAGTGAACTTTTTTTAAAGACATTGAATATCAGCATGGAAACTAAACGTGAATTTCGAAACCCTTAGTACTGTTCTTTGGCCTTGTTCACTGGTCAAAAATCTACTTTACAATCATAGTTCGAATTTCAAGATAAATTAATAATTGAGTATTTGCAAATTACAAGCCGACAATAAATGTAGTGTTAAACTACTCTTTACTTAGCATTTAATATCAATTTTTGAATATCAGAAAAGTGCAGACTGAAGTGACCGTCACAGAAACGTTTCTGGTCATCCAGGATCTAAATAACGCAATCAACCTTCATGACTTGAAAATATGATCACTAGCTGTTAAGAGCCTGAATAGGGTAACTATTAACAATTTAAGACCCAAGTAATGTAATCACAGGTCATCCAAGGCCTAAATAAGGTCATCACTGGTTGTTCAGAATAAACTGAACAGGTGATTACAATACAAAAAAAATTATAAACTTGGTGAATACATGGTCGCAATGTGAAGATGAAGGAGAAAGTGCGCCATTTTGAATTTTGATCTCACTATAAACTTGACGATTGAATGATTACAATTTGAAGGTCAATGACTAAGTACGCCATTTAGAGTTCGAAGGTCATTTCCAATTCTGGATAGTACCGTAAGTTATTGTTTAGGTCAAGAAAAAACAGAACCATTTATTACAGTCAATATTTTAATCACAATATCGTTGGTTACAAACTATTTTGACATTTATAAAACAAAAATATATCAGACAACGTTTACTTGCTTCACAAACGAAGAAGGCGATGCAGCATAAAAACACACGAATGTTTTATAAAGATTGACTTGTCCACAAAATTGTCGTTCAGTTTACTCTTTTGTTTACAGAATGCTAAAATCACAACTCCACCAACTAGATCCACATGCTGTGTCAACTTGTATATATCTGTATATAAATCAGAGATTTAATTGCTAGTCTCAGAAAAGAGATTATATATTAAAACCCATGGAGTTAAAATAGCTTTGCAAAACATGCCCCTCATTTTTACACGTATACATCCAAATTGAACCCCCCAAAAAATCCCCTTGTGAGAGATTAAGTAAGAATCCAGATTTCTAATGGGAGGTGCTGCACAGAAGCTGAGCATTTTGTAATACATTGAGCAACACAGCTGCCAGGTGTGTAAGCTAAGCATATTCATCAGCTACAATATAAAAGGGGGGAGGTGAGCATTTACAGAGTAGTTAATACTGACCTGACATTTGGAATGAAAAAAATGCAAAATTCACATAATACCTAAATATCTTTCCACGAGGCCTAACGCGCAGGGCCACTAGCCACGCCAAGATGACTGGAAACAAAGTCGATATTGTGACCCACAAAACGGTTATTTATTTAAGTCTATTATGATCACAAAACGACTAATAATTTTATCCCTATTCTTTTTTCTCACTTTCTTCTTTTGGATTTTCCTTAGGTGTTTCCTCCTTGATATCTGTAAGCTTTTCTTCTTTCTCTTTCTCTTCTATGTCTTTCTTTCCTTCCTTGTCCTTCTCTTCCGTATCAATCTCATTTTCTTTTTTTTCTTTCTCTTCTTCCTCTTTTTCAAGTTTCTTCTTTGGTAAGTGAGTATTCAACTCCAATGATCCTGTCATCTCTTCCCAATCTGGCCAATAACGTTCCTTCATCCTCTCCAGAAAGCTGACTAGGTTGGCGCAGTCAGAATCCATGTATTCTTTCATGTCCCCAAAACTTACGAAATAAAACTGGCACAAGTGAGAGAAGGCCACGCAGTCCAGCTGAAGAACAAATAAGAAAGACGATGTGAACAACTATTATAACTCCGATAAATAAGAACTCAACTCTGACAAAACTGACGTACTCTTTCAGAAATCAGATACATAGCAAGTAAAAAACATGTATTAGATAACTTTTCAGAAGTAAAGTACCTCTGGCTTCTTTGAAGTAAACATCCTTAAATGTTTGTTACGTCATTACTTTTATTTTACTTGAACTTCATAATTTCAAATCTTATAAATTATAAGGTTTCACAAAGTATTTTTCAAAACCTTCCGAGACTACTTAAAGCTACGAAAAAAAAGCAAACCAACGTCAAATAGCTGATATTAAAGTCCAGTTTCATCAGGACTTACAAGATGTGGTTCATTTCCAAAGAAGAAGGGCTTGTCCTGGAGATACTCAGATAATACTTTCAGGTCGTCTTTTCCAAACTGCAGAATTTCTTCACGGCTATGGCGACCCAGTCCATGGCCAACAGCCTTTTTGATGTTCTGCAAGGATAAATTACAAACAAAGGGAATACGTTAGCTTTAGACGATAGAGGTTTTCAGGGTAGTAGAATATAGTGTTTGTCAAATAAACACTCTTGATTAATGGAAAAACCTTACGCTTAATTGTAATCAAATAAACGGATTAAAAACACTCACACTTCTGAAACTCATCTTGAAGAAGAACTGGATGATGCTTTTAGGTAGCGCTGAATTTACAGCTTGTTTCACATCAAGTTGTGCAGTCTTTAAAAACTGGCCTGGATGACTGTAGCGCCACCAACGCATCACCCTAAAACAGAAGCGTAAAAAAAAAGAAAATCCAAATAAAGTATAGATAAAGAGAATGAAAATCTTATTCATTAGAACTCGTATAACGAATTTTCGTGAAAACTTATTTGTTAAGAGGTTATAAATGGATATTATTATTTCAACGTTTCAAAAATGTCACTAATCAATTGAAATTTATTTATCGAGACTGGAACAGTTCTTTCAAGGTAATTGTCGACGTTTTTGGAACGCAGAAGTCATAGTTATATTATCTTTGTCTTGCTAATCGTCTCTAATTTTAAAACCGATAACTAGAGGGAAGGTAGCTAGTCAATATCGCCCACCACTCACTCTCGGGATGCTCTAATCGAATAGTGGGAAGTGACTATCACTTTTATAACGGAGCATTATTTTTTCAGCAAAGTGACGTGAGCCATAGACCCTCAGATCGACACTCTGGCAGGTTAACTACGTTACGCTTGGCTCATTAAGAAAAAAAAAAAGAATGACAATCTATTTTTCTGACAAATTCAAATATGTAAAGTAAGGAAGGATATAAATTTTAAAAAAGCCGAATTTCAAAACGTCACGTGGGTTAAGTAAAACTTTAAAACTGTTGGAAATCTGGATGAGAAAAAGAAGAATACAAAAAAATCCCTTCCTTTTACGCCCGCCGTTTATTGTACTGTAAAGGTTTTCCAAAATGTTTGTAGCTTAAGGATACAGATTTTAGCTTGTATTCTTCCATAAAGATATTCTAAACACTTGAGAATAAATCTTATTAGCCACGGCTATGAAAAAGCGTTTTTAAACACACACACTCCGTTTACTTTCAATTCTTGTGATTTAGGGGCGGGAGCAAAAAAAGTCTAACTTAATTATTGTCATTGTCACGTGTATACTATATCACACACACAAAAAAAAATGTGGGGGGCAACTCCCCCGTAATCCTGCCAGTGTTTGAGATGTAGTTAAGATGTTTCATTTCAAAAACATCCAAAATATAGAAACTCCTTTAAACAGCGCCATCTGGTTTGCTGGTTAATTATCACAATAAACTTTCATATGGGTCACGAGTGCCTAGTCTTACTGAACAGTGCCCTCGTGTTTCTCACTCTCTCAAATATCCAACGGTAATTTCCTTGGACGCTGTGTGATATCGATTGGTGCATGGGGCAATTATTAATAACGTGGTCTCTTGGGAAAGGAAGTGGGTGTGCGTAAGTGGTCGTTTATTGGAGTTGATATTGCACTGGGTATATACGTGTCTACTCACACGGAATGTCACTACGCTATGAAAAGGAACAACATTAGAGCGATCATGTTTGAGCTTACACAGAGACTCGGAGAGAGATTTTAATAAGATATTTAGTGATGCTTGTTTCAATCAAACCAGCACTATAGTTTTAGAGCATTTCGTGTTTTACACACACTTTGTTAACTTGAATCTACAACAACGTAACTTGCTACACACTGTCGACTGGAATTATGATTTTCGTTACCTGTAACATATCTTTAACATGTACGCTGGACTTCGTTGCTTGTTACATATTGTTAAACCCATACCCTAGGTGATGCTGGTTGTTACATATTGTTAAACCTGTAGTCTGGGTTTCGTTGCATATTATATATTGTTAACATGTAGTCTGGGCTTCGTTGCTTGTTGCATATTGTTAATCTGTTCCAAAGATGACGCTGCTTGTTGCATATTGTTAAACTCATACCCTAGGTGATGCTGGTTGTTACATATTGTTAAACCTGTAGTCTGGGTTTCGTTGCATATTATATATTGTTAACATGTAGTCTGGGCTTCGTTGCTTGTTGCATATTGTTAATCTGTTCCAAAGATGACGCTGCTTGTTGCATATTGTTAAACCCATACCCTAGGTGATGCTGGTTGTTGCATATTGTTAAACCTATAGTTTGGGTTTCGTTGCTTATTACATATTGTTAACCTGTAGTCTGGGTTTCGTTGCTCATTACCTATTGTTAACCTGTAGTCTGGGTTTCGTTGCTTATTACCTATTGTTAACCTGTAGTCTGGGTTTCGTTGCTTATTACCTATTGTTAACCTGTAGTCTGGGTTTCGTTGCTTATTACCTATTGTTAACCTGTAGTCTGGGTTTCGTTGCTTATTAAAAATTCTTAACTATCAAAAACTTGAAATTGTTTCTAGAAGGTAAAAACTATTCTCTGGTATTTGATGCTGTTGTCGACTACCATGGATAAGAAGAAGAACTATGAACTACACATGTACCCCTTATAAGGGTAGGGATCTTCATAGGTAACAAAACCAGGGTTTTAATATTAAAACATTTTCTGTTAAATGGTTTGCCCTTCAGATAAGGTAGTTTCCTAGGCACCATGTCAGCAATATCTGTTTCTGAGAATATTTTTATTAATTATTTGGACAAGTGATGTAATGAGAAGTTGAAGATTTAACTATTAATTGAAGCTACTTGTCCGACGAAGAAGCTGAGCCCATGGAACTGATATGCCCTAAAAGACCATGTGGGGGGTCTAAAAATCACATTCAGATAAAGCTGTAACATAAATAGCAAGGTTTGAAACATTAAGAAAACGTGACCAATCAGCCCACCAAGATGTGTGGTTGTTGAGCATCGAGTTGAAAGCGTGACTGATATTTTTCTGGTCAACGGTGAGGTCTTCATCAAGGTCTTTATCAAACTGTTTGCTCAGCTCGCTAATGATGATGTCCGAATCGGCTATTTCAACTCCATTCAATTCCACAAACGGCAACTGGCCTTTCTTGGACTTGAATTTCAGCCGGTGATCCACATTCTGAGAGAGAGAGAGAGAGGGAGTATAAAGGTCAACATACTGCACAATTCTGTGATACTGAGTGACAGTGTTATTAAGAAGAAATCTGTGACTAGCAAACAGTTACTTAATATGACTATTGAAACACTTATTCTAAAAATAGTTGCTGTAAAACAAATTATATCCAAGGCCCTCAACCACGCACAACACACCAGTGTACAAACCACACACTTACACCAGGTGCACCAGGCACGCACAACACTTATACCAGGTGTACCAGCCACACACAACACTTACACCAGGTGCACCAAACACACACAACACTTACACCAGGTGCACCAAACACACACAACACTTACACCAGGTGCACCAGCCACGTACAACACTTACATCAGGTACACAAACAACACATGACTCTTACACCAGATACACAAACAATACACAGATCATACACCAGGTACACAAACAACACACGACTCTTACACTTGATACACAACCAACACACAACAGTTACATAAAGCTCACCAACCACTCGTATTAGTAAATAAGAAAAGCCAAGTTTTGTAAGCACGCCAACTCGCCCTTTGATAACAAATAAAGTCAAGCTTTTAACGAACATTAATTAACAGAAACTTGATAACGAGGAATCCACTTTTAAGAAAAGTTTTGAGACCTGAAGATGACATAATATTGTCGAAAATTTAAAATAAAGTTTTTGTTTCATTACCCAGTCAATAAGTAAGTGATGTAATTTTTATTTTGAACGAACGCTTTCCACACAACAGAGAAAAGTAAACAAGTTACTTACCATTAGGATAGGTGTAACACATATTTCTGCAATAAGAAAGTTCTAAGTTTGACAGTATAGGAGGCATTGTTTCGTAGCTTGTTTGTTTGAAGTTAAGCACAAAGCTACACAATGGGCTATCTGTGCTCTGCCTACCATGAGTATCGAAACCCGGTTTCTAGCGTTGTAACTCCGCTGTGCTACTGGGGGTGGGGGGCTGTTTCTTAGCAGACGGTTAGTTGTCGTTCACGTCCCTCTTTCTGATTACCATAAAATGACCAGACTTGACCAGAACTACTGAGACTAACACCCTCTGGGTGCAAAATGAGGAATACAGTGGAGCAGGGAGGAGGATCTACAAGAAATGAATGCTTGGCTAAAAGATAAATAGTTTCTAATGACGCCCCGTTGTTTCTTGTTTACTTATGAGTTTGTAGTTGTTAAAACAAGGTCAGATTTGCATCACCTCCTATGCATAACACAGCCCCACTCCTCTCTCCCTCCACAAATATTTTGGAGGTATTTACTAATTGCATTCCATTTTGTCGACGCATGCAGCTCATTAAACCAAATATAACGCATTTGTTTATTTCGGGACAAAACAGTAAAGAAAGAAGAAAAACACTTTACACGTGATTACTGACTGAACAAACAAACCCTGAAAGTAATCAAAGTGTGTTACAGAGTAAGAAGCCTAGTTGATATAATTTTTACATGTGTGTGTTACAGAATAAGGGCCTTGTTAGTCTGAGACTATACATATGTGTGTTACAGAGTAAGGGCCTAGTTAGTTTGATATTATACATATGTGTTACAGAGTAAGAAGCCTAATTAGTATAATTATACACGTGTGTATCACAGAGTAAGAGGCCTAGTTAGCAAGTTATTATACAGTTGTGTGTTACAAACTAAGAGGCCTAGCTAGTATAATTATACACGTGTGTGTTACAGAGTAAGGGCCTAGTTAGTTTGTTATTACACACGTGTGTTACAGAGTAAAGGCCTAGTTAGTTTGTTATTATACACATATGTGTTACAGTGTAAGAGCCTAGTTAGCATAATTATACACGTGTGTGTTACAGAGTAAGGGCCTAGTTAGTTTGTTATTACACACGTGTGTTACAGTGTAAAAGGCCTAGTTAATAAATCACTGGGATTTTGTTAAGAGTTTACAATATAGCTTATTGTTTTAAATAGAACGAAGGTGTGTGAGTAACGGCAGGAAATACCTTGTAGCCGAAAACCAGTGAATGTGTACACACACACACACACACACATTAATGCCCCTGGAAGGACAATTAGCCTAACCGGCATTACATCTATAGTTTCCTGTCGCCGTTCAGTAACAACGCAATCGAAAAGTCGGCATTTTAAAACAAAAATGTTAGCGAACTATAATTTACAAAGTTAGAAAACAACATCACTCAACACTTAGAATAGCTGTTGGTGACATAACTAGGCCTACCAAAACCGAAATTTATCAAGACACCATTTGGTTCAGAGTTTTTTTCTGGAAGAATGCGATATATTCACTAAATCAGTGGTACTTAAGTAGGTGAAAGAACTCTATACATGTACCGTGCTTATTAAACTATAACAAAAATAATTAAAGTGGCCAAAAAAACGAGGTTAACGTGACATCCTTAAAAAATGAATTAAAACCGTTAATAAATAACGTTTCATGACGTCATCGTTTTCTTTTATCACGTTATTGTGCTATGTAAACGTGGTAGAACGTACTATTGTTTTAAACATTGTTTCTAGCAGTATTAACTCTTTCTGTAGGTGGAGCTCCATTTACACAAAACTCTTAGTAATCATTCGATTTAGTCTTCGTGACATCTGCTCACCAATAAATTTTAGATTACTTAGAATAAGGATAGTTTTTTTGGGTTAGAGACTTAACTCTCTTAAACCAAACTTCTTGACTGACTTCGCCTTTAATTTTAAAACTACACAGAGAATGCTGTGTCTTAGGAACCAAATTTGAGACTTCAGTCATCCAGGTTATTGGAAGAATTCCAAGACCCAACAAAACATCGGTCACGATGTTTATTAATGTAAACGAGAACACCTTAACAAACAGCAACGCTAGGTTGTTTATTTGAAGTTAAGCACAAGGGGCTATCTGTGCTCTGCCCACCACGGGTATCGAAACCCGGATTCTAGCGTTGTAACTCCGCAGACATGCCGCTGTGCCACTTGTGGGGCAACGGCAACGTAATTCCTTGTCACTATGATTTAGGCTAGCATTAGCACGTACACACTAGGGATTCGGTTAGTTTTAGCAGACGACCCCTAGTGTGTACGTGCTAATGCTGTTCGTCTGAACAAACAAACTTGCTAAAACTAACCGAATAGTTTGTTTGTTCAGACGAACAGCATTAGCACCTACACACTAGGGGTCTGCTAAAACTAACCGAATAGTTTGTTTGTTCAGTCGAATATTTCACAAAGTTACTCGAGGGCTAACTCCCCATAGCTGTCCCCACTTCTGAATACTTCGAAGTGTTAGACTAGAGAGAAGGCAGCTAGTCAACAACACTTACCGCCAACTCCGTCTGTCCAAAAGGTTATTATAAAGATGAAACCAATCTTAATACCAGCAGTCTAAAAGTTATTATGAAGATCAAACCTATCTTAAGTCCAGCTGTCAAAAAAGCTATTGTCAAAATGAAACCTATCTTAAGTCCGTCTGTCCATATAATACTTCCAAGGTTAAATCTATTTTAAATCCAGTTGTCCACTAGATTCCATCGAGATTAAACCTATCTTAAGACCATCTTTCTACAAGTGCATCACCGATATTAAATTTATCTTACCTCGTATTTCAGTCCTGTCATTCGCAACCACGTTTCCACTTTGAGACAGAATGGTGACAGAGAGGGCAAGACAGGGCATCGTACAAACTGATACAAATATACAGTGTCTTTTTCGTAGTCAGTTTTATGCACGGAAGGTGGACTTCTTGCCGACTGTGTGGAGGGGATATCCCCCTTAGTTTCGGTGTTAGCTTGGTCAGCACTGTTGCTTGTCGTCTCAGTTTCTGTGCTTGTCATAGCGTCTTCTTTGAAGACACACAACCCACTTCAAAATGGCGTGCGGTAAGGAGAGGTGAGAGCGACACCAATTTCGTAAAGCACTCTTCGACGTTCCCAAGCCTCACCTCAGAACACACAGCTACTCTTTCTCTTCACCCGTGGACGCCAAACAGCAACCAAGAGGGAACTCGATTCTCATAGGCTAGAAAGGACACGTTCTAGCTAATGCGCACGCGCAGAAAACGTGATACAACGAATGGGACATCAGCTACGCGGGGATTTAAAGTTTGACAAGTAGGGGTAGAACATTCTTGGCATGGTTGATTTTTCACACCAGTTGGCGTGACTGGCATGAGTCACATACCAATGTGGGTCTGCAACCTTCACAAGATAATATTATCTTCCAGTAATGTTATGATGAACTCTTTTATTCGCTAAAGTTCACGAGCAAAAAGATAAAAACAACACAGTCGCTTCCGTTTAATTCATGGTTAATTGGAGACAAAATGGAATTAACATAGTTTTGATAATGATTCCACTCTCCATTATGTAGAAGTAACAACTGGTGCACTATGAAAATGTTATATTGTGTAGAAGTGACAACTGGTGCACTATGAAAATGTTATATTGTGCAGAAGTGACAACTGGTATACTGTGAAAATGTTATATTATGCAGAAGTAACAACTGGTGCACTATGAGAATGTTATATTGTGTAGAGTGACAACTGGTGCACTGTGAAAATGTTATATTGTGTAGAAGTAACAACTGGTGCACTATGAAAATGTCATATTATGTAGAGTGACAACTGGTGCACTGTGAAAATGTTATATTGTGTAGAAGTGACAACTGGTACACTGTGAAAATGTTATATTATGCAGAAGTAACAACTGGTACACTATGAAAATGTCATATCATGTAGAAGTGACAACTGGTGAACTATGACAATGTCATATTATGTAGAGTGACAACTGGTGCACTATGAAAATGTTACATTATGTAGTTGTAACAACTGTTACACTATAAGACTGTTATGCTACGTAGTTCTAACAACTGTTACATTACGTAGTTGTAGCGACTGTTACACTATCAACTGTTATGTTACGTAGTTGTAACGACTGTTACACTATCAACTGTTATGTTACGTAGTTGTAACGGCTGTTACACTATGAAAATGTTACATTATGTAGTTGTAACAACTGTTACACTAAAAATGTTACATTATGTAGTTATAACAACTGTTACACTATGAAACTGTTACATTACATAAAGATGTACAATCATCTTATATTGAAGCATCTTAGAAAGAAGGTTGCCCCAGGTGTGAGGGAATCTGGGGGGTACTTCCCCCAGGAAAAGGTGAACACCAGGATGCTCTTAGATCCATTTTCTGATGAAGCACAGAAACACTAACAATTTCAACATTTTTTGTGTTTCCAAATTTAGACAGTATTTTAAAGGCACCTGAACTGTGGGTGGCCGTTTTATACTTCTTCATCTTTCTAGGTTACTGAGGCGTTATTTTTTTCTGCTACAACTGGATAGCAAAAGTTAGATAATGAGAGCTGTAACAGCGGGAGAGTTTCACTTGTTTACATTATTGTGTGCGTTTTAGGGAGTGGGACTTCTAAACAGTGAGTTCTTACCTATTAAACTCAACAGAATACCACAATTATTTTCTGCTAGTCCCTATGTGTATTTTTTACTAGTCCCTGTGTATTTTTACTGGTCTCTATGTGTATTTTTCTAGTCCCCATTTGTATTTTCTACTGGTCCTTACGTATATTTTTTACTAGTCCCTATGTGTATTTTCTTCTAGTCCCTATGTGCTATTCATTTTAAACCTAAAATCTTTTTTTCCCCGAATAATTCGCAGTAAGCAAGGTGTGGAATCACGTGCGACTTTTAGTAGGCACCTTGGGGGTCGTAAGGAAGGGGCAGGAAGGCCTTGAGTCCACCCTGTGCAAGTCACTGAGGACCAGAGTCCACCACGTTTGTGTATTTATAGGAAATTAAACAACTTTGCATTTAACAAACAAATTTATGAGAATTATAGCGTATAAAAAAAACTTGACCTTCCCCTATGAGATTTCTTTCTCCTGACGTATACACGTTGACATTTATTCACCACACCTTTTGTCATATAAATAAATTTTATAGTTTAAAAAACTTATATTTTCATAGAATATTAAACCTTTTATGAAACAGCTTCTAAATTAAAAATTCATTCTGAATTCTCTTTTTTTTATATTCAGTATGAGTTTAATGTGTGTGTGTGGAGGAGGGACAACTACTAACCAATCTACCAGTAAAAAAAAAGACACAGGCACATTTTATATGTTCGTCATATTACGTTATCTTTTATTCCGGTAGTGACGTAAACCAATGTGTGATTTCACGGATGTGACGTAACCAGTATATCGATGCTCACCGTATGAAAGGTTGATATTTGTTTGATTGTCCACATACATTGTCGCCATATTCACAAGTAAATAATATTCCTATAACGAATTCAAAACTTGAAGTTTACACTTTTCACCGTATCATTTTAGTAGTTTTTCTGTATGTTTGTGGATATATATGTGATAAGGTAATCTCCATCTTGAAATAGTTCACTTATCAACACTCTTCACTGATTTCCAGACTCCTCTGATTCATCCTAATTCTCTTCTCATATTTCTCATAGGATCTCAATTGTCCAACCAAAATATTCTCTTCCTGTTACCTCTATTTACAACTAACTGACTACAATAAACATATTCTACAACTAACTGACAACAATAAACATATTCTACAACTAACTGACAACAATAAACATATTCTACAACTAATTGACAACAATAAACATATTCTACAACTAACTGACAACAATAAACATATTCTACAAATAACTGACTACAATAAACATATTCTACAACTAACTGACAACAATAAACATATTCCACAACAGACTGACAACAATAAATATATCCCACAACTGCCTGATAACAATAAACATATTCCACAACCGACTGACAACAATAAATATATCCCACAACTGCCTGACAACAATAAACATATTCCACAACCGACTGACAACAATAAATATATCCCACAACTGCCTGACAACAATAAACATATTCCACAACTGCCTGATAACAATAAACATATTCCACAACCGACTGACAACAATAAATATATCCCACAACTGCCTGACAACAGTCAACATATTCCACAACTGACTGACAACAATGAACATATTCCACAACTGCCTGACAACAATAAACATATTCCACAACTGACTGACAACAGTCAACATATTCCACAACTGACTGACAACAGTCAACATATTCCACAACTTGATTCTGATAAATATATTAGCTTCAGAGTCATTAGCCTAACGTTAAAGTAGTCACTTTAAGTTTTTTATGTTTTATTTTACCATACCAGATAAACAAATAATTTTCTAGTTGAAAGACCAGAGTTCCTAGGAAGGTAGTTCTAGACTGCTTAATATTTTTATGTTAGTTATTTGTCATCTCCAGTCATTCTTAAACGGCCATTTGTAAAACATATTTATCAGGCCACATGATGCTAGCATGTAAACTTGTATACTATAACTTGTACGAATTGATTAACTTGTCGAAACGCTGTGCACTTTAACCTGTATTATTTGATTAACTTGTTAAATCATTGTACATCGTGTATTATTTGGTTAAACTGTCAAAATGATGTGAATTGTGTTTAGAACTAATTGACTATCGTTGGTTATCTTGTTGGTACGTTGTGCACACTGTGTATACATCCGCTGGAAGTTTCAAAACTTGTTCTTCAGGACCTGTAACCCACAGAAAAGTACCGTAGTTTCTATGGTAACGCAGCAGCGGAAAATACTTTGATGACTTCTAATATTCTTTTCAAAGACACTAAGGGGAGGGGGGGACATTTCTGTGTTTGTGTAAGGGGGATGAGACGTTCGAGTGTTTGTGTAAAGGAGAACATTTCTGTGTTTGTGTAAGGGGTATGAGACGTTCGAGTGTTTGTGTAAAGGAGAACATTTCTGTGTTTGTGTAAGGGGAATGAGACGTTCGGGTGTTTGTGTAAAGGAGAACATTTCTGTGTTTGTGTAAGGGGAATGAGACGTTCGAGTGTTTGTGTAAAGGAGAACATTTCTGTGTTTGTGTAAGGGGAATGAGACGTTCGAGTGTTTGTGTAAAGGGGGAGGGGACAACTCAA